ACGATTTGGAGTGTGGTGTTAGGGTTGAGGGAGAGAAGGCTATCGGGTTGATTTGGGGGTTGGGGGGAGAATGAGACACGGAATCTCAAAAACACCTAAAAGGTGTTTTGAGAAATCCGTGTAAGTTCTGCATTTTGTAGTGGGACAGGTTAAAAAAACACATCGGTTCTCAAACACATTTCGGTGTTTTTTTTGAGAAAAAAAAACAAAAACGGAAAAACACAATGCTTACCAAACGCTCCCTTAGTAAACTGTTTGTGGAAAATTTGATGTAAAAGAAATAATGAAAGAAAAATTGATTTGTATTCTCTCAAAATCGATTACAATTTGGATTCCGATTACAAAATAGAGGAGAATGAATTTGATTCTCCCCTTTGTTTAAAACTGGGTTCTTCTTGGTAGTGATGGAGTGCCTCCTTCGATTGCTTGCGTCGAACTTGCTCTCCGTTGACGATCCGAACGTCTTGATTCACTGGAACATGATTTTCTCCTCACGATTTGACGTTGTGGAGAACTTGCGTGACAAGTTTGAAAATAACTCTTAACAAGTTAATAACTCAGAGCGAGTTTTAGAAGGACTTGCAGAGCAAGTTTTGAAACTGTGGACAAGTTGATAACTCAGATCGAGTTCAACTCGAGTTTAACTCTGAACGAGTTTGAACTCTTGAAAAAGAGTTGATTTAACCGAAAGTCGGTTATAAGCCAAGGATGAATGCTCCAAGGACTTTGTTGCTGCAGAAAGCTCCAAGATGCCCAATCAAGGATCCCCAAAGAGCCAGCTCCAGCCAGCAGAATATCACTTCTTTGCTGCCCAAAAAGAAGGATCCGAACTCAATTGAGTTTCGAGGTATTTATAGGGGATTAAGGGGTAACTACCCCCTTAATCCACTCCTCAATGGGCTGAGTGGGGTGTAACCGCCCCCCATAAATCTCTCCATGATAGGGTAGTGATCCCCTAAAATCTTGGGGAGAAAACGGTTCTGGAACCGTTCAAATCGTGCTTGAACGAGTCAAACGCTGAAAACAGCGTTCTGGGCCTGAACTGTGCGTTTCTGGATCTGAAACGCAGGGTTGGGCCTGAAAACGCACAGTTGAGCCTGTTTTAGGCTGAAAACGTACAGTTGGGCCTGAAAACGCACAGCTGGGCCTATTTTAGGCTAAAAACGCACAGTTGAGCCTGTAAACGCACAGCTGAGCCTGTTTTAGGCTGGAAACGCACAGTTGAGCCTGTAAACGTACAGCTGAGCCTGTTTTAGGCTGAAAACGCACAATTGAGCCTGTAAACGCACAACTGAGCCTCTTTTAGGCTGAAAACGCACAGTTGAGCCTGTAAACGCACAGCTGAGCCTGTTTTAGGCTAAAAACGCACAGTTAGGCCGCACAGAGATGAACTCTGCATTTTGGACCTGGGATGCAGAGTTGAGCTCTACATGAACTCTGCGTTTTGATGTTATATCACAAGGATGTCCTCTGCGTTTTGATGTTATAACGCTGGTTTGACCCGTGCGTTTTGACTCTGTAATGCAGAGGCGAACCTTAGGCGGGCTTGGCGAGCTTCAGGCTAAGTCCAATGTTCAGACGAAGTCCAGTCTTGCAGACGGTCTTCGGAACATGACTTGCTGCGAAGAACATGTCATAACTTTCAAACCGTAAGTCGGAATTGGACGAATTATATATGAAAATCGGCTATCTCGACGAGACGGAGCCATCCGAACCAAGCCAAAGGCTTAGGTTCGCTTCCTCCGTTTCGCCAAATTTCTTACGGTTTGAGAGATATCTACGTTTTAATATGAAGAGACCGTCAATTTGTAGTCTCTTTTGCTAGAGCGTTGCAAAGATCGTCACCTTGTAACCTTCGTCTTGGCTCCTTGAAAATATGAGAGTCATCAGATTGTAACTCCCGATGTTGATTGTGAAGGCTGTTGAATTAGAGCTTTCATCAATTGTCGTGAAGGTCGTCAGATTGTAACCTTCAGCGATCTACGTGAAAGTCTTCAAATTATGACCTTCTGGAAGTCGTCAGATTGTAACTTCCATCATCAGTATTTGATGGGGGATAAGCTATCTATTGTGATTTTTAGACAGCCTACATAAACATCAAGGTTTCCAAACGCATGGCGCTTTATTTTTGGCAAAACGTCATGAAAACAAGTAAAACACCATGGTGTCCAAACGGAGCCTAAATAATCCAGACAAAACTCGAACCCAGGACCATAGAAGAATACAAGCAAAGTTCGAACGCAAGTATTTAGTAGATGTTGAGCTTATATATCATTCGACTTGCATGTTAAAATTAAAAAAAAAGAGAAAAAGAGAAAAAGAGAAAATAATTGGGATCCAAACAAGTCTCAGAGTTGGATAAAGTTGCATATCGATCTTACAAGATTTGCCAACTTACTACTGGCGAATCTTCAAAGATGCTCAATCTCATCTCATACAACATTTTCATTCATTGACCAAATCTCGCTTCCCTTATTTAAGTTACACATTCAAACCCACTTCATCATTCATCTCACTTGCGCTTAAAACCGCTTACTTCCAATTTTAGCAACTCAGTAAAATCAATGGCAAGTGCGCAGGCCAAGCAAAGCCAGAGGAAGCTACGCTCTCTGTGGGCACAACCGGCAATATGGTGCATCGCCGTTCTTGTGTCCTTGGCGGTGAACCTGGTCTCTGTTACTTACATCGCCCCTCTATTTGAGGATCTCGGTGACGAAAGAAACAGATACAAGGTGAACATTGTGCACGAAAAAGAGAAGAAGACCGTTGAGAAGAACTACACGGCTGTGCAGGACACCAACATTAGTGCTACTAGCGGGTCTCGGCCCATTAAGGACTCCATCATCAATCTCGACCAGTTAGTAATACGAGCTATTTTAGTCTCTAAGGGTTAACCGCGGGTAGACACCCAGTAGTATTTGTTGTTTTGAATTTACTACCAAATAGGGAGGAAAAAAAGCCTCCATTAGCCTGCCAAACAGAAAAAAAGCCCACGGGTTAGTTTAACCCGCACGTGAGCCCATCAACACATTTATCCCGTGAATTGAAGGGTTAGCTATTCCGCGTTTGTTCCGCCTTCTCATGCGAGGGTAGCCGACGGAATTTTGAAAGAAGAGAACGGAACAACGGTTTTTCATCCCAATTAACCATCGCACGAGAATCCAAACCTATTATTATCCAAAATAACACAACCATATTCACGAATAACCCGTCAAAAAAATTAATGCTAAAATGCCCAAATGAAACTCAAATTCAAACCAAATCAGCACAAATCCAAGCAATTAGTCACCTGTACAGCTCCTCGAAGCTCAATCCACTGGCGTTTTGGTTGTAGATCTCGTGGATCGCATGCTCGAGAATCTTCCATGTCTTCTCCGAGTACTTAGGATCCACCTCCACTCGATGCTTGAGCGCCTCAATCTTAAAGTTCCTTTTCTTCTGAGCACTCATCGCTAAATTTAGGGATCCAAAGTCAAAAAAAAATCCTAGAAAATTTCCCCTTTCAACCGAAGAGTAGGGTTTCTAATGGGAGAAGTGAGGGGGGAAAGAGAGAGAGTTGGAAGAAGAAATGGGAAGCTTTTGGGTGGGGTTGTGGGTGTAATAAATGTTTTTATTTTGTTGGGGTCACAAAGGTGCGGGATTAAGTTTCTTTATAAGTTCTGAGACAATTCTTTTGCTAAAAAATGTTCTCATTGAGAAAAATGCTTTTAAGGCCAACTAAATATGTAAGCTACAATGAACAACTATGTATATTTTTATACGGAATTTTGCATGCCCTTTCAAATCGAGTATTAGCTGAGATATTTTAACACTCAGGAGAGACTATTAGCAGACATTATAATAATGTGCTTAATGCTATATTATTTTTGATGAGGTAATTATTTATAAATTTTTAATAAGGGCGAAAGTGATATTTTTTAAAAAGTAATGAGATTAATCTCCTTAACCCCTCTTCATTTGCCAAACACAAAAGACTTAACCACTTGTCTTAACTATCGTATCCAAACGGGTTTAGAATTTATTTAACCCTTCACGATGGGTTAACTAAGGTAACTCTTCTCTTTAATCCCTCCTCCTTATCCCTTTGCCAAACGCAACGGTCTAGTTTTATTTTTGCGGATAAACCCCCTTGAGTGATTTTTTTTGTTGTTAGGGAGTCTATTTGTCAAAACAATTTTCTTTTTCTCTGAGAGTAAAAGAGTCAAAGATAAAACTAGACCGTGGTAAATTCAAAACGGTTATGCTGCAGAGAGTTAACACGCAATTGAACCTATGTAAAAATGTTATATCATTAGTTGATATATTTTCTTTTGTTTTAGTGGCGACCCAACAATATTCGAGGAGTTTTGGGCGAGGAAGGGAGAGGAGGCAGCAGTCGTGATCCCTGGATGGCAAGCGCTGAGCTATTTCTCGGATGCTGGCAACGTGTGTTGGTTTCTTGAGCGTGATTTTGGCCAGGAGGTTCGTCGACTGCACAAATTGGTCGGCAATGCTGTGACTGAGGACAGATACATTGTTGTCGGCACAGGCTCAACACAATTGTATCAGGCTGCAGTTTTTGCGCTCTCGCCTCCTGATGCCTCGGAGCCCATGAGTGTTGTCTCTGCAGCGCCATATTACTCGGTAAACTTTAAGGGCAAAAAAATTATTTGAATAATTATAGCTATATTTTCAATGCAAGCAAGAATCTATTCTTTGCTTAAAGCTGAAACTGGATTAATTGAGAGAAACATAGGATTCTCTAACTTGCGGCATACTTTTGTTTGGGTTCATGTAGACATGACCCGAGGCTCATGCATTGATTCGTTAAGCAAGTACTCATCATAATAATTTAATTTGATCTAAATAATTACTTTGATAACACATTTCTTTCTGTAAGTTGAGCTCAGGCATATCATACGAAGACGGCCTACCTCCGTTCGGGGCTATTTCGATGGGCGGGCGATGCCCGTGCTTTCAAAGGAGATTCCTACATTGAGGTTGTTTGTTATCCAAACAACCCCGATGGGTTCATGAACAAGGCTGTTCTCAGCTCGGATACTGGAAAGACGATCCACGATTTAGCTTACTACTGGCCTCAGTACACGGCCATCACTGAGCCTGCAGATCACGATATCATGCTCTTCACTATCTCAAAGAGCACTGGCCACGCTGGTACCAGGCTCGGGTAATCAAACTAGTAATTCTGATGTTCGATTTCTAGAACACAAATCTTATCGGAGTATTCTCTATTGAGAGTGAGTGTTCTAAACCATGAAGTGGACAATTAAAATTTCGAATTTGCCTCCTTATGATCGAATGAGACGCTAAACATCCTACTTTCATGCTGGTGTTCTGATAAATTTTGTTCTCATATTTTTATATACACATGTCAAATTTTATCAATACACACATGTTATATCGATCACATGTTACTGAAATTTGGGCTCTCGAATGAATTCAGGTGGGCTGTAGTAAAGGACCAAAATGTTGCGAAAAAGATGACCAAGTTCATAGAGTTGAACACGATTGGGGTATCAAAAGACTCGCAACTCCGAGCTGCTAAAATCCTGAAAGTGATTTCGGATGGCTATGAGCTCCCCAACACTGAGTCGCCGATGATTAGACTGTTTGATTATGGGCGAGATTGCCTAGGTAAAAGATGGAAGAGACTGAGAGAAGCTGTGAAAGCTACCGGACTCTTTAGCCTGCCTGAGTATCCAACAGAGACCTGCAAATTCACTGGGGAGAATTTTGCTCCGTATCCTGGTATACATACAACTTAAAAACTTAAATCAATTTTTGTTGTTGTTGATTGAACAATCATTGTTCTGATTTTTGGCATTGTGACCGACCGCGTAGGTTTTGCTTGGATGAAATGTGAGAAAGAAGAGATCGAAGACTGCGAGAGCTTCCTGAAGGGTTTAAAGATTCTGACTCGAGGCGGGAAGCATTTTGGAGTGGGCATGAAGTATGTGAGAGTTAGCATGTTGGATCGCGAAGAGACGTTTAATTTGTTTATCGAACGACTAGAATCTCTTGCATGATGCATTTGAACCACTTCAAGTTGTTCCATATTAATTCGTCGAATTGAGCAGTTTGTACATCTCTTGTAGATAATTAAGCTGAGTAAAATCTGCAAAATCTGCAGCTATGTTAGGTTCAAATGGTGTACTTGTTATTTCTTAAATACCTTGTTTATGAAATTTTAAAGTAGTTCTAAACACCCTTCAACTGTACCGAAATTTCAAAGTTACCACTAAAAAAAGAGCAAATTAGAAAAGGTAGAAATGATATGAATACAAATATTGTTTATTTACTTGGGAGACTTTCTATTATGATGTGGTATACTATAGACGGTAAAATATAAATTTTATTCTTATTAATTTCTCTTTTATTAATGGTAAAGAAGAATGACTATTCCTAACAGTCTTTTCAACAATGTTTGAACTTTTATTTCTCTGATTTTGTTTTAAACTTCCATTACATTAAAATTTTGAAGTTATAGGAAACTTTAGATATTATGACTTTATGCTCCAAATAAATAATAAGTTAGAGTAAACAATAAGAAGTCCAAATTCGAGTCTTGAAACATAAGCAGATAAGATAAAAGTAAAAGTGTTATGAATACATTTTTAATTTCTGCAATTGTTCCTATGATAAGATAATATCAAATAGTAACGTATACTTACATGCTCATTTTTAATGGTAAAAAGTGATAATTACTATCAACCTTCGAAATAAAGAGTTCGAATGATCTACTTACCAGCTTAATACAGAAGATATATCTTTCTCTTTACAAAAAAAAAAGAACATAAACTTAAAATATGTTTGAAATAGGGCAACTTTAATCCCTACGTTATCCATTAGGACATGGGTAAAATCTTAGGCATTTGATAAGAGTAAGGAGGCAATCCTTATCCTACATGCTATCATCCCTCCTTGAGAAGCACACAAAAATAAATTTCTGCCATTAATAGTTTGTCTTATATATTGCTAAACTATAAATAATTATAGAACTGTTAGTATAATTGTCGTATTCTACAACAACTAGTTTGACCTAGAAGCTACGGTAATTAAATTTAATAAATTAAGTAAGATATATGGTTGCTAAGTTATTCGAATGTCACATGATGTCCGTGCCTCCTATGAGTCGCATATGTTTGACCAAATTTGTTGTTTTTCTTCTGCTCGCTCTCTATAAAAGTGCAGATTATACTATTTCCAAATGCATCTTTCGTCTGTTCAAAAATGTTTCTTCTATTTCTTCTTCCTCGTTCTGCAATTTCTATTTTTTTGCTCATCTTATCTTGGAGTTTATTCAATTGTATCATAATAACGCTTTCGAAATGGGAGGTTTTGGAAAACCAGAGCATACTTCATGGCCAAAATAGATCTTCTTAATATCATCTCTTCTTTGTCTTGTGGAGAAATCTCCGAGGTACAATATTGTTCGCTTTTGCAATACATTTTTTCAATTTGAAATTTAGCTAGACGTTGTTATAGTTTTATAAAATTTACTCATCCATATTTAATTCTTGACATAATGTTTACAATAGAAGAGCATTGGTTTAAGAATATATTGAAACACGAACTTTAAAAGATCTTAGACAGATAAATAATTAGATGCGTTGGATCTTAAACTTACCTATGTTTGATGGTTATCTTTTTTTGTTGTTGCTTCTTAAAACAAGGGTAATCGTAGGTTAACGTGTGTAGTGAACTTTTCTAGATTACTAATTCACAATTTACAATCGATTTCAACAGAAGTCTTACATTTGAACCCCCAAGATTCCCTAAAGTAATGATTTGTGGGAAAATATTATTTTTATCATGTCCCACTGCTGTTACCATAAACTCTTCTTTTTGCTAAGTATATATATATTGTATAACATTTAACCAATTTCCTTATAGTTATTAACAGAAGTTACAGAACAAAAAAAAACAGTGCGTCATTTCAAGCTAATCCAATCATTCTGACGTTTAGAGGCTAGGAGCCCAATTAGCCCATGCCATTGGATTAGAAATGATTTCAACTCAATTAGAAAAAAAACCAAGAAAAAAAAAATTCATATAAAATAAGTAAAGATTTTCATTAAGTTTTATATCGTGCAAGCTTTGCTCTTTTCACAGAAGGCTCAGAAAATACTCGGTTTCTATCGTGTATACAGTATACTGTACATTATCACTTATATTGAAAGCAAGCAATGTTCAACACAAGTATTTCCTCGACATTGAGCATATTATTCAACTTCAATATAATATTTAAAAAAAAAAGAAACCGGGTTTGGAGGTGGATAGAGTTGCATATCTTTAAATATGCACAATCTCATCTCATGCAATATTTTCATTCATTGACCACATCCTTACTTCCCTTCTATAGAAATCCCACATTCAAACTCCCTCCAATTTTAGCAACTCACTAAAATCAATGGCAAATGCACAGGCCATGCAAAGCCATAAGAGGAAGCTACACTCTCTCTGGACACAGCCAGCGATACACCGTATCGCCGTTATTGTGTCCTTGATGATGAACCTGGTCACTGTTTCATATATTACTCCTCTATATAAAGATACAGGGGGTGAAAGAAACAGATGCAAAGTCATCGTGAAAGAAGAGAAGAAGACCACCTCGAAGAATTATATGGCTCCTACAGTTCAAGAGATCAACGTTAGCGCTACCAGCGGGTGTCGCCCCACCAAGGACTCCATCATCAGTCTCGACCAGTGAGTATATAGATTTTTTATATACCTTCAAAACAACCAATCTAGGGGATCTATACATAATCCTGTACATAAATGTTATATCATTAATTGAGAAATTTTTCTTTGTGTTAGTGGCGACCCGACAATGTTTGAGGACTTTTGGGCTAAGAAGGGAGAAGAGGCAACGGTCGTGATCCCTGGATGGCAAACGCTGAGCTACTTCTCGGATGTTACCAACGTGTGTTGGTTTCTTGAGCGTGATTTTGGTCAGGAGGTCCGTCGCCTGCACAAATTGGTTGGCAATGCTGTGACTGAGGACCGGTATATTGTCATTGGCACTGGCTCGACGCAACTGTATCAGGCTGCAGTTTTTGCGCTTTCTCCTCCTGATGCCTCAGAGCCCATGAGTGTTGTCTCTGCAGTGCCATATTATTCGGTAAACTACTGAAATTTGGAAAATCATTTGAATAATTGTTGGTTACTTTGGAAATGAATTTGATATTTTCTTGCTTGTGATGACAAATAATTATGGCCAAGTTTCTTTATGCAACTAAGAATCTAATCTAGCTTAATATTTGAAGTTCGATTGCAAGTTATAGGATTCTCAAACTTGTTGCCTACTCCTGCTTGAGTTCATGTAGACATGACCCTAGATGCATGCCATGTTTCTCTATGCAACTACCCATTATAAGCATAATACTTCACGGTTTTTTAATATATACCCCTTAAATAATGCACATTTGCTAAATAGTCAAATACTTACTCACCAAAAACCAAATACTTTAATTTCTCTAAACAGTTAATTAGTATCATGTTATTCATTTTTGTTGAGCTCAGGGATATCCTATGAAGACAGACTACCTCCGTTCAGGGCTATTCCGATGGGCGGGGGATGCTCGTGCTTTCAAAGGAGAATCCTACATTGAGGTTGTATGTTCTCCAAACAACCCCGACGGATCCATGAACAAGGCTGTTCTGAACTCTGAGACTGGAAAAACAATCCACGATTTAGCCTACTACTGGCCTCAGTACACGGCCATCACTGAGCCCGCAGATCATGATATCATGTTGTTTACTGTCTCAAAGAGCACTGGTCATGCCGGTACCAGACTCGGGTAATCAAACCAGTAATTCTTATGTTCAAGTCCTAGAATACAAATCTTATAGAATACAAATCTTATCAGAATATTTCATATTGGAGTTAGTGTTATGAACCATAAAGTGGATAGTTAAAAATTTCAAACCGCTAAGTTTACTACATAGATGTCAAATTTTACCGATCACGAGTTATTGAAATATTGCCTTTTCAAATGGACGTAGGTGGGCTATAGTGAAAGACCCAAATATCGCGAAAAAGATGACCAAGTTCATAGCGATGAACACAATTGGGGTGTCAAAGGATTCTCAACTCAGAGCTGCAAAGATCTTGAAAGTGATTTCGGATGGTTATGAGCATCCAAATACCAAGTCATCTATGAGGCTGTTTGATTTTGGGAGAGATCGCCTTGCAAAGCGATGGGAGAGGCTGAGAGAGGTTGTGAAAGCTACAAAATTGTTTAGCTTGCCTGAGTATCCATTGGAGACTTGCAAATTCACCAGGGAGAAATTTGCGGCATACCCCGGTATGTAGATCAATAAATTAATCACTTTTTATTTATTTTTTCATTGATGATTGTTTTTATATATATATTTTTATTTTATTTTATTAATATATTATTATTAATACCTTTTCCCCATTATGTAGCTTTTGCTTGGCTGAAATGTGAGAAAGAAGAAATTGAAGATTGTGAGAGCTTTCTGAAGAAACTAAAGATTCAGACTCGAGGTGGGATGCATTTCGGAGTAGACATGAAGTATGTGAGAGTCAGCATGTTGGATCGTGAGGAGACATTTAAATTGTTTATTGAACGACTAGCATCTCTTGCATGATGTATTTCAAGTTACCCTTTCTGGATATTTTGAGAGAGATTGCATAGATGATATGCTTTTTGGAGCAAATAACTATTTTGTCTATTACTCTGTATTTTGCTTTCAATAGCAAAGAGAAACAAAGTTTATTCGATCTATATATATTTCAACTTCTTTATTAAGCTTCATTTTTGCTCAATGTTTATTCAGCTCAACAGATTGTACCTATAACACAGTTTTATTCGTGAAACTGAAGTAGAGGTTTTCAGTTTTTCCCACTTCTCCTCTTAATTAAAACTTAAAACTTCATAGGATACTTCGCTTGAGGGAGCTGATGTGGGCGGGGAAAAGCCCTGATACACTTTTCTAAGGTTGAACAAACAGACCATGAAGATGTCAGTATCTCAGGCTTGGGGTCTTTAGGTGATTGTTATGATCATTGTCTTCATGGGAAAAATAATAAGTTATTTTCATGCTCCTGACATTATAAGCAACTACAACCTCCACAAATGCAAATTGATTATCATTGATTTGGTTCCATGGGTGATAACAATGTATATTTGAGCTAAAGAGCAGAACGATAATACGACAGGACCCTGACCACTATTTTGCTAACCTGATCTGAGCATCGATAGAGATTTCGAAATTAGTAGGGAGGAGACGTTAGTTGAGACCCAAAATGGTTAGTTTCAGATTGGAAACTAACCTCCAAATCAGTTCAGCTCCGGAGCAAGGAGCGAGGGATCAAAACATTACCAGTTTTAAGGCCAAAAAATTGGCCTAACAAAATCATATGAAGTCATGGTCCAGTTTTTTTGCTACACTAGGATGAGGACTTAAACTGGTCTTGTTCCACTAAACCAGTTTACTTGGAACTGCCAAACAGGCCCAAAAGCTAGTAGACAATTTAAAATCTAACAATGTGTAGTTATCAACAGTTTGATCTGTACATTATCAGGCTGAGTTACCATAAGAGGTAATCCCCGTCTTGGGTTCGGAAGCAACACTGAATATGAGAAACAACGCCTTCTATTGGGGAATATGATGCGAATCTCACACTCTGTATATTTATATAAATAATCAGTTGAGGGGAAAAAACATACAGTTTTTACATACCTTGATGGTTTCTCCAACAAAGCCGAGGGACGCACTTTCTCCAGGACCTGAATGACAGCCACCAATTTGTGCTTCCTGTACCTAAATAGCAAGAACATGTACTAATCATCCAAATCCTTTCTGCTAAAGAACTTGTCAATCCACAGCAAAATCCAACCATCCAAGAATTCACTTGTGTCGATAGAGCCTATAACTGTTGGCTTAGTGACATATACAAAGGGACCCTTCTCAATGCATTTGTCTCGCTGAAGGCTCCAAGGCCCTGTGCTGATCAAATCCAACTCTGATCTTTCCGGGCTTCAAAAAGAGTGCATCTGTTATAAAGAGTTCAGCTTATCATGAGTACCTGACCCATTTTACCTGTTAGAAGTAATGAATGCAGATTAAGACAAGAGCATCATCGAAGTGTTCGTGTTACAAAGATGGGTAAAAGACTGCAAATTGGAAATTTAATACCCCTGCTCTGGATCATAGCCATCAAACAGATCGATTCTAATCAGTCATCAAGTTATTAAAGTATGTTTTTAGTAAGAAATTGTTAAAAGGAAAATTGTTACTTGTAACCATTTTCTCGATATTACTATTGAAGAAAATACCAGCTTAAGAAAGGTACCTTGGAAATGACTGATTATATCATGAACCTGACATTTAGGCTTTCTTCATAGGACCATGCTTCTGAATTTCAAATCATAATCAATTATATCATGAAACATTAATTTAAACATCCTTCACATAATCGTGCTTCCGAATGTTTGAACTTCTACGAGCTCCTTTTAGATTAGTGGTTCACTTCTAGTACAGCTAGAGAGATGCAATGTCGCGCGATGAAAGCGCCACTCTGATAAATCTGATTAGTCTGACTAAAATGTAAAAGGTCCTTAGTTGCTTGTCGAAATTAAGCTTTTTTCCCTCTATTAGTTGATTCTCTGTTAGAACTTTTTTCTACCTTCATATATATTCCTAATAAATTTCCTGGCACAAAGTAGTTCTTGCTTGATAATCGGCCACAGTAGTTTAACCAAAGCATTGACTGCAGGCTTGATGACAAGAAGTTAGAACCGATGATTGACCGATGAATGCTTTTTAGACTAGATTACAACTTGCTACATAGAGGCCAGAACTACGATTATACTGCATTACAAGAAACTTGCTATACTAAGGGGCGATCACTTATAAAGATAAATGAATCGTTGCATCTATGGCCTAATAAGCATAAACTATAGCAGTCTTTTTGTTGGTTGATATTGCGGATTTTTAGCAATACCAGGAGCTGAAAATGATAAGATTCAATGTTGCATTCTATAACTTGATATAGAATGCATGAAAAACAGATAGTAATGTGGTCGGCATTATTAGAGATATTCGAAGAGAGAAGAAAGTAATCTATAGGCGCAATTCAAAGTGGGAGAAGAAAGTAATCTATAGGCGCAATTCAAAGTGGGAGAAGAAAGTAATCTATAGGCGCAATTCAAAGATCTCTCAACAATAGGCCAATAGCTTCTCCTTTAAGCACCTTGTATAGTACTAGTTTCTCTTGTGTAGGGATGGTAACATATATGATAAGGATCTACTCACTGGTTTCTTTTTTCTAGAAAAACAGTTTGCAAACTTAAATTTGGTATGAAACAGGGTAAGCTTAGTTCCTAAATTATCCTTTAGGATATAACTAAATATATTAGATGTTTGCATTGAGATTAAGGATAAGATCATTATCATATATGTTACCATCCCTACACAAGATGTATGCTCAAATACACTTCTACCATTAATAATTCGTCTTATATATTGTGGCAAACTAAATAACAACAGAAATGTCCATATAAATTGTTGTATTCTGCAACTAGTTTGACATTGAATATATGCCAATTATATTTAATGAAGTAAGTTTTATGACTGTAAGCGCTTGTTCAAATATCACGTGATGATGTCCCTCCTATAGGTTATAACATGTACTTCTATAATTATTAATGGTAAAAAAAAGAACGATTATTACTATCAATCTTTCAATAGAGAATTTTCATGATACTTAGTAAGATGCATCTGTTTCTTTTCTGTTTCGGTTTTCATGTTTGTTTGTCTGGGGGGGGGGGGAGGGGGGGGGGGGGGGAGGGGGGGGGGGGGAGGGAGGGTTGTAAACTTGTAGAAAGTAGTTTTGTAGGATTAGTTTTAGCTCCTAAGTTATTGTTATAGGATATAGAGAAATCATAGTTGATATTCTGCATTAAAGATTAAACATAAAATGCATTAGCCTATATGTTAGCATCCCCTACAGAGACGAGAAGCACACATACAAATAATTTCCGTCTTATATAATGCGGGAGTGGACTTATAAATAATGACAAAATTGTTAGTATAAATTGTCAGATTCTGCAACAACTAGCTTGACATAGAAGACATAGGAGGTTGTTCAAACTTCAAATATCACGTGATTTTCGTGTCTCATATGTGTCGTATATGTCTGACCAAATTGTCGATTTTCTTCATTTCTCTCTATAAAAGCTTACATAACTCTATTCCCAAATCTACCTCCTTTAAATCAAAATGTTTCTTCTTCCTCGTTCCACAATTTCTATAAGTTATGCTCCAATTTATATTAGAACTCGATCAACTATATCAAAATAATCTTTTTGAAATGGGAGGTTTTGGAAAAATCCGAGGAAGCTCCAGAGGCGAGATGGCTCTTTCTAATACTATCTCATTTGCCTAGCAGAGAAAGTTGCAAGGTACAATACTATTTGTTTATAAGACAATTTTTCATATGAAATCTAGACATTAATAGTTTAATATAATTTAGAATAGCCATATTTTGTTGCATAATTTTACAATAGAATTATGTTGATTGAACGGTATTGCTTTTGGCTTTGTGATTGTGTAGGATTTGCTTTGCTAGAATGTGGGAAAGAAAGAACTGAAGATTGTGAGAGGTTCTTGAAAGGTCCAACGATTCTAACTCGACGTGCAAAGCATTTTTGTAGTAGACATGAAGTATGTGAGAGTTAGCATGTTGGATCGTGAAGAGATTTTTAATTTGTTTATTAAACTATTAGAAACCCTTTCATGATGGATTACAAAATTTTGAAATGTTTGGAAAGGGATTGTATAGAAACTAAGAGTAGCGATACTTGGACACTAAGAAGATGACTAGTATATTATTGATAAGAGACTTCATCTCATCTGCCAGCTAAAGCAAAGGAATCACCAGAAATTGTTTCCTATGCCATTCATTTAATAGGAAATCAGAAGTTGTTTGTCAAATAAGGATGATATGTTCCTTTTCTTTCTTTTCAAGATACATATTGTATTCTGTCCACGAAAGAAAACTTATTTGATTTATTACATTTAATTTTTATGTTCTTCATTAGGCAACATGGTCACTTAAACATACTTTTCTTTCATAAGTTGGTTATTATGTATTACAAAACAAGCAGTATAAATTCTTACCTAACATACAAGTTTTGTTAACTTGAGAAATCTAATTTTTCGCATGTTTTCTAACAATAAAACTAGCAAGAGAGTATTTATCCCTGATCATATAATTTAGATACCTTCATAGGGAGATGTGTTAATGTAAGGAGGAAAAGGTAATACTAGCCAACATTACTTGTTGACACGATAAAACAAGTAATTAGTAGAGATAAATCCCATCCCATATCTATAATTCAATATCGATACTCAACGATCATATCTACTACAAGCTACATTCTTCAACAATCAAAAACTCCCAATGCTTCTTCCTTTGAATCCTATTCTGGTGAGGAGCCTAGCAAAGCATATTGCTTTGCATCTTGCATACTTGGTAAACCCCCGCCTTAAATTCTTACTCTAAAGTCACTAGTCCGCAACTTCATCCAGTAGCCTCCAAGCAGCTCACTGGTACTAATAGCCCTCGATACAATTTGGATGCTCAAGCCAATTGATATCTCCTTCAAGGTAGGGATCACACCTGCTCAACATAAATTATCTCGCTAAGTCTCAATAATCCTTGCAATGATGGTGTGAGACCCAACATCATAACCCGCATACTTATCAAGCTTCTTTCTTAGCATGCACAACGTATATGAAAGACTTATTCGTCCCATACATACTATGATTTCCTTCTCTATTTTATATTGAGGTTATAAACTTCCTCGTCTCTTCAACCACAAATAAATTTAACAAAGGGTCTTAAACTCGCCGAGTCCTTGGGCAATATTTAGGACTATAAATAATGACAAAATTGTTAGTATAAATTGTCAGATTCTGCAACAACTAGCTTGACATAGAAGACATAGGAGGTTGTTCAAACTTCAAATATCACGTGATTTTCGTGTCTCATATGTGTCGTATATGTCTGACCAAATTGTCGATTTTCTTCATTTCTCTCTATAAAAGCTTACATAACTCTATTCCCAAATCTACCTCCTTTAAATCAAAATGTTTCTTCTTCCTCGTTCCACAATTTCTATAAGTTATGCTCCAATTTATATTAGAACTCGATCAACTATATCAAAATAATCTTTTTGAAATGGGAGGTTTTGGAAAAATCCGAGGAAGCTCCAGAGGCGAGATGGCTCTTTCTAATACTATCTCATTTGCCTAGCAGAGAAAGTTGCAAGGTACAATACTATTTGTTTATAAGACAATTTTTCATATGAAATCTAGACATTAATAGTTTAATATAATTTAGAATAGCCATATTTTGTTGCATAATTTTACAATAGAATTATGTTGATTGAACGGTATTGCTTTTGGCTTTGTGATTGTGTAGGATTTGCTTTGCTAGAATGTGGGAAAGAAAGAACTGAAGATTGTGAGAGGTTCTTGAAAGGTCCAACGATTCTAACTCGACGTGCAAAGCATTTTTGTAGTAGACATGAAGTATGTGAGAGTTAGCATGTTGGATCGTGAAGAGATTTTTAATTTGTTTATTAAACTATTAGAAACCCTTTCATGATGGATTACAAAATTTTGAAATGTTTGGAAAGGGATTGTATAGAAACTAAGAGTAGCGATACTTGGACACTAAGAAGATGACTAGTATATTATTGATAAGAGACTTCATCTCATCTGCCAGCTAAAGCAAAGGAATCACCAGAAATTGTTTCCTATGCCATTCATTTAATAGGAAATCAGAAGTTGTTTGTCAAATAAGGATGATATGTTCCTTTTCTTTCTTTTCAAGATACATATTGTATTCTGTCCACGAAAGAAAACTTATTTGATTTATTACATTTAATTTTTATGTTCTTCATTAGGCAACATGGTCACTTAAACATACTTTTCTTTCATAAGTTGGTTATTATGTATTACAAAACAAGCAGTATAAATTCTTACCTAACATACAAGTTTTGTTAACTTGAGAAATCTAATTTTTCGCATGTTTTCTAACAATAAAACTAGCAAGAGAGTATTTATCCCTGATCATATAATTTAGATACCTTCATAGGGAGATGTGTTAATGTAAGGAGGAAAAGGTAATACTAGCCAACATTACTTGTTGACACGATAAAACAAGTAATTAGTAGAGATAAATCCCATCCCATATCTATAATTCAATATCGATACTCAACGATCATATCTACTACAAGCTACATTCTTCAACAATCAAAAACTCCCAATGCTTCTTCCTTTGAATCCTATTCTGGTGAGGAGCCTAGCAAAGCATATTGCTTTGCATCTTGCATACTTGGTAAACCCCCGCCTTAAATTCTTACTCTAAAGTCACTAGTCCGCAACTTCATCCAGTAGCCTCCAAGCAGCTCACTGGTACTAATAGCCCTCGATACAATTTGGATGCTCAAGCCAATTGATATCTCCTTCAAGGTAGGGATCACACCTGCTCAACATAAATTATCTCGCTAAGTCTCAATAATCCTTGCAATGATGGTGTGAGACCCAACATCATAACCCGCATACTTATCAAGCTTCTTTCTTAGCATGCACAACGTATATGAAAGACTTATTCGTCCCATACATACTATGATTTCCTTCTCTATTTTATATTGAGGTTATAAACTTCCTCGTCTCTTCAACCACAAATAAATTTAACAAAGGGTCTTAAACTCGCCGAGTCCTTGGGCAATATTTAACAATTAAAATTTTAAATGTTGGGGCAATGAAATTTAAAACCTATCAAAAGTGGCCTAAAGAAGTTAATTCCCCTCAGATATCAGTCTAATAAAGATTCAAACTTTCAGCTCCATTCTAGCTAAAAATTGCATCGATTAATGCAAGCACAACCCTCAATTTCTGGGTAAATTTATACTAGGAAAAAAAATCAAATCTTTCGTAGAAAAAACGATGAAAACACTCAATTGAGCAAAAGGAAAGAAATTAGAGCAGACTGGAAAAAAAAACAACGTACTTGAATCGAAGGGGATTTAATCCCGAGAAATTGGAACGTAGAGATGGATTCTTCATGAAGAAGTTCAAAAAAATTTGACTTAATTGAGATCGGAGAAAGTGATTATAGGGTTAGGGTTTTCCGTACCGGCTGTTTGGTTGTTGTCGGTAAAGTTATGTATTTACGCACTAATAACTTGAAAAGTTGCTGTTCATCTTATCAATTTTATTTTTATATTTTTATTTATTTGTTTTTTATTTCATTTCATTGTAATTATAAATTGTTTGTTTAGTTTGTAAATGAAACTTTAAAGGGCTGTTTGGTTGTATGTTTTTACCATGTAAGATGATGGAAAGTGTAAAAAAGTGGGTCCCAATGTCAGCTTTCATCACTTTACATTGTCTGTTTAAATTCTCTTTTACATGAAAAAGTTACACCTTTTGATGAGGTATCACCGAAAACAAAATCACCAAAATTAAGGGGCTGTTTGGTTGTTGTTGGTAAAGTTGTGTATTTATGACACAATTTGGAAAGTTGTTGTCCAAAAGTTGTGTATTTATGACACAATTTGGAAAGTTGTTGTCCACCTCATCAATTTCACTTTTATACTTTTCTTTGTTTGTTTTTGATTCCATTGGAATCATAAAACACTTGTTTGGTTTGCAAAATAAAACTTTAATTGTTTGTTTGGAAAGTGTAAAAAGGGGTCCCTACTCAAATGATCATATTAGTTGGAATTATTTTTTATTATTTTTTCCTAACTTCAATGTTAGCTTTCTTCTAAAATCATGTCTTTTTTTCATGAAATCACTTTACAAGCCACATAAGCATATGAAATCACTTTACACTATTTTCACAACTACAAACAAACAATTGAAAGTGATGAAAGCTGACATTGGGACCCACTTTTTTACACTTTACATCATTTTACATGTTAAAAACATACAACCAAACAGCCCCTAAGAGTGATTTTGTTGGAAAGCTGACACAATGTCATAAATGTGTCCAAAAAAATAAAAAAAAATCAGAACTTTGTAGAAAGTGGTGAGGTGGATAACAAACTAGAGTTTACGTTATACTATCCAAACAGTGTAATACTATTATTTTAGGATTCACAAAGATTCCTAACCAAACAATGTAAACACTCGAATGGAAAGTGGTGATGTGGATAACCACTTTATATTTTGTGTCATAGATACTCTAGTTTCCTAAAGACATCCAAACAGCCCCTAATCGTTTGTTTGGAAAGTGTAAAATGTGGTCCCTAGTCAAAAGATCATATTGGTTGGAATTATTTTTTATTATTTTTTCCTGATTTTAATGTCAGCTTTCTCCTAAAATCATATCTTTTTTCTATGAAATCACTTTACAAACCACATCAGCATATGAAATCACTTTACACTATTTTCATAACTACAAACAAACAATTAAAAATGATGAAAGCTGACATTGTGACCCATTTTTTTATAATTTCCATTTTTTTACATGGTAAAAACATATAACCAAACATCCCCGTAGTCTCGAAGCTGTTGAAGAAGCTCGACGGTCAACAGAAACGGTTGAAACGGATGGGTACTTTCGTCAACAAAAATTAGACAAACGAGATCGTTATGGGCCGATTTGGGAAGTGGGCGCTCAGATGGGCCAAACCCAATATTAGAGCACGCCAGACTCAGTAACGTGTGTATTTATTGGTTTTGTTGCCTAGAAACCCACGTTTTACCCCTACTTATTTTAAAACCCCACTTCCAGAATCACTTAAACCTAGATTCTTCCAAATGAATTAATTCCCAAAATGGACTTTGTATTTACATTATTGTTTTGCTGTAATTTGCTATATTTTTTCAGTAATTTACTATATTTTGCTGTAACTTGTTGTAAATCAAAATGTTGGAAAGCAAACTATAATTACCCTTAAACAAAGCAAGCTATAATTAAAAATATGGATTTTTTTTCCTCCTAGAAACCACATTTAAAATGAGGCACTATAGGAAACCACATTGGTATGTCAATTAACACATAAATGACCTTCAAAGGGGATTTGTGTCACAATCAATGGCCTTGAATCACTTTTTCAGCCTACTGAAAATCTGAAAAAACCTTAAAAGCTCACGTTCAATACATATGACTTGTATCCTAAGTAAATCTAAAATTTAACTAAATAGGTTATGTGCCTTGAACATGTACTTTTTAAGGTGATCGATTAGGGGCCGAGCTAGTAAGCAAAGGGTGGTGTCACAACCCTAAATCATATAATTAAAGAAGGGTGCGTAAATTTATCAAGCAAAATGATACCCCCAACTCCTTTGAGTAGTGAGTAGTAACCTGTTAACTTTTAATGGGCCAAACCTAAACGTAAATAGCCCCAGGACCCATTAACTTAAATGATCCAATTCACCACATATCAAAGAGCTACCCTTAATTTTGAAAAAGAAAATATACATAAGTTCACACTAGAAATGATATTTAGGGGTATTTGCTTATTTGAATGACACTATTATGCAACGATCCAAATAAAAAGACACGTAGGAATCAACTGTAATTGTATTTAGTTAAATATATTTTGTATCTCATTAATTAAAGTTCCTGATTACATTGAACGATAGAGAAGAATTAGTAATATCGTCTGCTTATATTACTGCGACACTACTATTATGAATTTTTGGCTCGGTCACTATGATTGATTGCTCCTTTTAAAAGTGGTTTATATATTAATTGACACTTAAAGCTGATCTCTTTATAATTATCCTATTTTGATTGTGGTTCTAGAGGGGGAAAATCATAATAATAACTAAATAGTATTTTAGTTTAAGAGTGATTTTAGAAGCGAGCAGGTTTCAAAATAACAATAGCCTTGAAACTGTTTAGAGGCATCATGTGTTTCGAGATAGGAACCAAAATCTCTCTAAAAAGGAGATTTAAAAAAAAAAGAAAGATACGGGCCAAAATGCTTTAAAAGTGTACTGCAGGTATCATCAGTGTGGCAGCGTGCCATAAATTAAAATGAGCTGGACTCAATCGACAAAAGCCTTGAGTGGACGTTCACAGATAAAGAAGAGATGAATGTGGGCTCCTGAGTTTGGTGAGTCCAGTAAAACACAAAGGCTACAACTGTAGTAGTTATCATTGGCTACTACTGTATACACAAAGCACATGTTTGGCAGTAGGTGTCCTTGAGTTAAGACTGAGAGGCACAAACTTGCATTGTAGCTCAACCTCTTCCCAAAACATAGTCGTGACAGTAGACCCATATATTTAAGAAACTTACCAACTTCCTTTTCAAATAGGAAATAATTATCACTCCAAGGGTATAGAATGGTACATATATACATATATGATGTAGGATAGGAGATGTCAGTTCGTTTAACAAAATGAGCTATCAAAAATAAGACCTTGGCGACAAATAGAACGGGCTTCACCAATAATAGTCTACCTTATGAATTGTTACATTTTTCTCTAGATCATCAGCTGTCCAGCTAATAAATACAACGCATGCGTTGAGTGGATTAGTTAATGATAATTACTATCAAATTTCAAACAAGCAAAGCTAGTTTTTTTTGAGTGAAAATAGGGATTTCCCTATCAATATATTACTGAAGCCCAAGGTGGGATGGAACAAAAATGATATCTACTACTGATTCAGGCTGCTGCTCCGAGGTGGAGAACAAGACCAAATCAGTAGTGGATGTCAAAAGGAGAGATTACAAAAGTCAACCAGAAATGTACAGTATAAGTCACTCTAAAACAAAAGAGAAAAAAACTAGGATGTTAACTGCTGCACCAAAATAACCCACAACGATAAGAGCAGGAACCAACTTGGGGGGAAACGGTTCAAGGCGACGAGTTGCTGTCCTCGCTTGATTCAAGGATATCTGAGAGCCCAACGTCGAGGCTTGTTAACATACACTCTCTCTTTTTTGCACCAGTCAAGATTCCCATTGTTGGTCATGGCTCAAGATGATTAAAATATTAATTTTGATTATTAGTTCTAGTTGCATGTTGTCCGGGTCTTGGTATTGTTTTACCAAATGCATGGGGTTGACGACCAAGGCTTTTTAGTGGTTTATTACTTACCGTTCAAAGCAAAGTTCAGACTTCAATGTCTCACAGAGATTTGAACTCATCTATCACCTACGAGTCCTACCCTACAGTATTTATTATTGTGTTTATGGATTACCAACCTCCATAACTTTTTTAAATTCCCAGGCAGTTGGCTAATCAATAAATTGAAGATGAAAACTGCATCATATTCATGTACATTTAATACGTAGGTACCTTCATCTCCAAGCAAATCTGTGTCAAAAGTTATTGTACCCCTTAAATAATTATTTTAATTTATGACTTTTCAGTCCTTTACAACTACATCCATATTACTTGCACACGATAATATGAGAGCTATATGTCTTAGAGCATCTCCAACAGCTTCCCCAAAATTTTCTCCAAAATGAAGAAACAAAAGTCATATTCTCCAAATTATTTTTGCTCCAACTCCAACAGCTTCCCCATTTTGAAAAATCGCATTTATTACAATAATAAAGCTCTCCCCAAAAATTTGAAGAATGCTGCAGATTTGGGGAAGGCTCCCTATTTTTTCTCCTCCTTCCCTATTTTGGAGAATGGGATGGGGAATCTGTTGGACAAAAAAAAAAAGCTCTATATTCCCTAAAATTGAGTATTTCAAGAAGATGGAGAAGTTGTTGGAGATGCTCTTACTAGACTTTGTTAACTTCAGGGTTGTCAACTCTAAGTGTGTAGATTATTTCTTTAGCTGTCTAGAACTGCTACTCACTTAAAAAATGAGTGCCTTGTATGTAGAAATTCTGAAGGAAATAGGTTAATTACACACAGAGTCATTTGTTTATTCACAAGTTTCCTGTAACTGAGAGAAGTGGTCGGCAAATTAATTGATGGAGAGAACTTACTTAAACAAATTCTGAACTTGAACTTCAGTGAATAGATTCAGTATATATACCTAATTTTAAGAGCATATAATAACTCCTAATCAACAGTAATTAAAGGAATTATCAGTTTGACTTCTGTGGTTTTTTGATAGTATCTATAGTTATACACTCTTCTATACTAATTAATAAAGGAAAGATACGCCAGAAACCATGGTATATATTCACTATATATCTTTTTCGAAATTTACATACTCCTCCCTGAAAGTTGTACAATATACTCAATCATCTGTTAATAACAAAAAAAACCCGAAAGTTAATGGTAAAATAAAATCAATAACCCTCACCAAAAAGAATCTCTTAAATTTCTAAGGACATCTCATACATCTTCCAGGACCCCCATAATAGAAATAATTCCCCCATACTCTATTTACCCCTCCTTGAATGCTATAACAACTTGAATGATCAGCCAAGAGCTTGAGATTTGAACAAGGGATCAAGTTATTATCCCAATCAACAACTTGTAAATTGCGAAAATAGGCCGCTCGGCGAAATCCTTCATTTGCAAAATGACCACTTCCCATTTGAGTGGAAGTATGGACTCCTGAAGATCTAGAGTTCACAATTTCTCCGCCAAATTGAACCATGCTTGCATGTTTTGCTAAGTGATTGAACAAGGATGAAGGCCAGTAGCCTACTAGTAGACCTGAGCCAAATTCTAGCCACCAATGTCCATGCTTCGGATCCTAAACATGGAACAGACCAATTACAAATCAATTAAGTTCTAACTGTATGTTTCTATTGAAGAAAATACTAGCTTAAGAAGGGTAGTTTGCATATAACTGATTGTTCAAACTACCATTTAGACATTCTCCACAGGTTCACAAATCAATTAATTTCATGATTTGAAGTATTTAACATGTAACCACTTTTATCGTGAAATTATCGTGCCTAGTTGATTAACGTTAAATTAGAACTATCACTATTATTTTCACCCATTAATAGCGGATAGACCCCTGTACTATCACCAAATTGAACTTACGTACTATGCCTCTTGTTATATTGTTGTAGACCGAGTGAATTTCTTATCCTCTTACGGGGTCAGTAGATTTTCACTACTCCGTAAGCTCTTTCAGCCAGGGTGTCTATCTACAACAATAGAACTACATGGGCAGTAAGTTCAATTTGACGATAGTACAGGGGGTTCTATCTGCAATTAACCCTTTCTAAAGTTACAGGGTCCATGTTATGGAATTATGTTTATTTATTATTATTATACTTTTAGATATATCATGTTATGAAAATAAGTTGCGAATTTACATCTTCAAACATTGACAAAAAACCAACAGATTCATATTGCATGGTCCCTAAAGTCTCCACCGCGAAAAAGATTGGTGCAGGCTCCTTTTTTTTTTGTGTACCATCATCATATATGCTTCATCCTTTTGGTTGTATAACTTCTTAAGTGGCAACCACTATCCATGAAGTATCAGATCCATCGGTAGTACTATAAGTGGAACCTACATATGACAGTTTGTTGGAGCTATTCATTTTATAGTTAGCGTGAAGATGGCATATTATTGATGAGACAGTATTAGAATCATTGCTAGCGGCACTATGCAGCATGTTTTAAGCATAGAGCAACCTTGTTGACGGATGTATGCATCATTTGATTCTAAGCGATCAGGTGTGATTTATTTCTCAAAATTGGGGGTTATCATGTTAATGTTCAGGGGCTAGATTTTAGCCCGTGCGTGAAAGTTTGGTGAATGTTAAAGTAAGAATCTGTCCTCTAAGTTTTAATTATTGCCGATGCAAATTTTGACTTTGTTTGGAGCTCATTACAAACACATGCAAATTCTTTGACATTTTTAGATTCTTAAATTTAGTTCCTCTAACCATTACACCAAAACTCCGAAGTTATGGTGAGGATCAAGGATTATAGTTTTATATTAATTCTAACATGCCCCCGCAGGTTGAACGTACTTTTTTATGGGTCGAAACCTGGACTCACGTAGCGGTGTCAATTTTTAGAAAATCCGCATTTAATTCGTGACCGGTGGGATTTAAACCTGGGTTGCTCTGATACCATCTTAAATTTAGTTCCTCTAACCATTACACCAAAACTCCGAAGTTATGGTGAAGATTAAAGATTATAGTTTTATATTAATTCTAACATAGATTTTTATGAATTAGGCATGCGGCGAGCTCTGATGCCGGTATGCAAATGTTAAAAGAATGCTAGTCACAAGATGCATTGTGTATCTGTAACGTCTGGCATATGGCATGCTAGAACTTTGCTCAAAGTCAAATAAAACATCCTCAGGAAATTAATCTAATGACGCACGTTGTTTTCAACGTCATAAACCGCTAGTATCTTATGATTAAGATTGCTCAGCTTGAAATTACCTTCCATATTAAGAGACTGATATCAAATTGGCCACCATTAAATCTTGATCTGGGGGAGATAGCTGCTCCAATAGCGATTTTATTGTTTGTTTGGACAAAGCCTGAACACAAGAGATTGTAGCATCCAGTTTCTCGATATGCATCACTCTGTACGATTTTGACAAATATGCAGGTATTATAATAAGTACTCCTAAAATAACCATTATTAAGGAGATTAGAAACAATTGACGAAGAATAAAACATTCTACTTACCGTCCAATAAGTAAAGAACCTAGGAAGGTTATCACCATATAATTGTGGGCTAACCTGTAAACATAGTAGCAGATCCCTTAGGTCAAATACACTAGTTTTATTTTATGTTTAGCTAATATAGAAATATATTAACTGTCATTAATATTTTCAAAGTTTTTCACGGTCACATTTAATTGAAGCTTGACTAAATTTTAAGGTTGATTTGTCAACGGCGAGTACAATACAAGTACTTTGTGCATAATTTAGGCAAACATAAATTATATAAAAACTATAATTTCCTAATCACCTGCCAACCAGCTTCAATGGTGTTGAGATCACCCCCAAACGATCCTGAGATCACCCAAATTTGTGATAAACTGAACTCAGAAGGAGTGGTCACCCGCGGTGCCCAAATATTTAGACTAGCCTTTGCCCCATAGTACTGATTTCCACTTACATAACCAACTGCATGCTGCATCCAGAGTATAGATAAAATGTCATGTGCAAGTAAAAAAAAAATTAGTCAAGTTTCAATTTATAATTAACTTAATTAAGTCTGAAATTCTCAGTCCCTTCTCTGCATACTTGGATGCTAACTAATCTTTCTTAAACAACTTAAACTTCTCTAAGTTAGGCCAACTAAAATATAAGACACAACTAAGCCTTCAACAAACAAATTAAGTAGTTGAGTCAAATGCAAGTTTTTAACAAACACTTAACAACTAACTACTAAGATATGGACTTTTCATGTTTTACAAAATATTTTGTGTTTAGGCTCTGATTAATCCTTATTTGGTAAATGGAGCTACAACCGACAACAATGGTGAAAACTATATTGAAATTTGAGGACTACAATGTAGCTACTCAGACATTGACGTATAGGGCCTGTTATTAATTTCAGGGATGTAGGGGGCCCACGTTTCAGCCTTATATTTATGGAATCAGTATTTTCCATTAAGGTTAATAAAAGTACTATGCATTAAGCAAACATATCCAAAATTTCCCCTAGATACCCATTTCATTAAGTTCATATTTTGCAGATAAACTTATAAAAAATATTCATAAAACACTTTTGAAATCTAACCTGTAATATTTTGAAGGGAAACAAAGCCGCTATGATCTAGGATGAAAAGCCTTTTAAAATCTCAGAAACAAAACAAAATTAAAAGTTTTCAGAAATGTAGTCACTAGTGCTAAAGTTGGTGGAGTGGAAGAATATGATTTATGAAGCCAACACAAATATTTTGGATAGTGTTTGATGATGTTGTATTATTCTTTCGTGTCTAGTTATAAGGAAGAGGAATAAGTGCTAGCTTAATCTCAATGATAAAAAAAATAAATAAATAAATTTGGAGAGAAGGTTTAGAGGTAAATACCTCATGGCCACTGCCAGAAGAATCTCTCCTAACTCTGGCTAATTTCCTCCCAAATCTCCTAACAGAGCTCGCTCTCAAAATATCATCTTCTGTAGTTCTTCTAACAGGAACGCTTCCCTCTGGACAAAACTCACCAGAATCTCTCCACATTTGCAAACTCTCAACCATTTCTTCTGTAATTGACTCGTTGCTTTTAGGCCTCTCTGGTGGATCCTGCAACCAAAAAAAGAAAAAGAAAAAACAAAAAAAACATTAATCCTTCAGTTCTCTAAAAAAAACCCATAACCAAAAAATAATTCTAAACACACCAATGGCCTTTGTCCTCTTAATTTAGGGTGATCAAATGCTGGTTGAAGATGAGAAGCAACACAATCAATAATATCACCATCTGGGCTCTGTTCAAAAAAGAAAATTTGATGAGAAATATTAAGTTTACGATGACATAAATAAATTACATGAGAGAGAGAGATGTAGAGTACCTGAATTGTCTTTAGAGAAGGCTTATTGATTTTTTTAAGATGTGCTCTTATTCTCCTTAGCTTGAGGAGCTCTTTTGCAGGTTTGAATTCAGTGGAGTTTTTGGCTTGTGAAGCCAAGGAGCAGGAGGCAAGGAGAAGGAAACCAACAAAGAAAGTAATGATTGGAACATTAGAAGAAGCCATTTCTGAAGAATTTTGGTGTGTTGATCCCTCTTCTAGAGCTATGTCTACCACTGTCTTTATCTGTGGACATTGGTGTAGTTGTCTTCTTGCTGTGTGAGTCTCATCATATTTTTGGACCCTCTTGCCTTATTAAAAACTTTGATTTAATCAAGCTCTCGCTTACTAATGAGCTTTTGTCTTTAACCACACTAACTACAATTTCATAGAATTAAACCCACACCAACTCTCACCATTTCCAAAGCTTAGTCTGCTCAATATATGAAAAAAAAAGCATAGAAGCCTGATAAAAATGAGTTAATTGTGGATAGACCCCTTTAACATTGCCACATTGCGAATATGCTCGCTGCACTTCTATTGTTTGTGAATATGGCCCCCGTAGTTGAATGAGTGGATGAGAATAAGTCATCTCACTATCAAACACAAAAGTTTGTGCTTAGTACCAAGTTCCTCCATTTCTCTTATCGAACTTTTTGGTTTTTTCTGTTTTTTTGGATGATATAATAGGTCAATCATTTGCTTCATTAGTTCCAACCGTGGCAGCTGCGGAATCTGGTATTGGATCAGCCATCTTCAAAGGACCCTGCAATTAAACCAAAACTCAGAAACCTAGACTCATACACACCGCATAATGAAAACCTGGACGACCTTGGTATCATATCCTAAGATGCTATCCCTGCATCAAAACTCTAGACTTATAGTGAGGATTAAGGGTTATGGTTTTATATTTTAATAATATGCAATGATCATTATGCAAGTTTGTAATAAGTAAATCATTTTATAAGCTCATTTGTTTTAATTTATGAAGCCAAATATTAATTTGAAACTAAAGGAGTTAAGAATCTAAGGGTTTACATGCAACAGTAAAAGTACATGAGGCCCATCCATAATTTGGCGGTCATGTAAGTGTAGAATCGGCGAAATATTTGGTGAAGAACAGGTTTTGGACACAGGGGGAACAGTTTTGGAGTTGTTCGGTCGACCGTGGTACAAGGCCGGTCGACCGAATTCGTGCACAGACCCTAGAATCGAGTCTGGACTTGGTGCGGTCAGCCACCGCGGTCGACCGCCATACCCTGTACCGTCAGTCGGGTCAGGTCCAGGTTAAGTTGTTTCTTGTTCTAAATTGGTTTGGTGTTTGGTATAAATACTAACAAGTTTTAGGGTTTCTTTGGCGCAGTCAATGGGATATTTTGAGCACGGAAAAGAGAGATCTTGCTAAGCTATTAGTTATGGTTATTATTTGAGAGATTGAGAGTTTTGTTGGTGAGATTAGCTGGTTTGTTTTGAATGATTTGTAATCTCAGTTTGTACTCTCCTTCTCTATTAGTGAAAAACTCACCCCCTTGCCCCGTGGACGTAGGCAACTTGCCGAACCACGTAAAAATTAGTTGTTTGTGTTTGTATCATTATTTTTCATTGTTTGAGTTTCTCTCTTGCCGTTTGTGTTTGGTTCTTCAAAGCACAACAATTGGCTTCCGCGCACAACAAGTGGTATCAGAGCTTGGGCTACGTTTGTGCTAGTTGGAGGAGTAGATCGCTTTGGAAGTTCATCTAGAGCTTCGTTTAGTAATAAATATGGGATTTTTACTATTGTGGATATTGTCTACCATCGTGTGGGGGTGAGATCTTTTGGAGGCCCTTGTTAGGGTTTCAGTTAAAGGTAAAAATCTCTCTTTTTTAGTTTGGATCTATTCTTCGTTTGTTCCGCATTGGTTTGTTGGTGCTTTAAGAAAGATGGCCGAGAAAGAATGAGTTGTGGAGGGTACTTCTGGCGTGAAGATTGTCCAAATTTTGAGTATTCACTCTATGAAGATAGATGTGGAGAAGTTTAATGGCACGAACAATTTTGGTTTATTGAGGAGTACTTTGACCTACAGATTGAAATCTTGTGAGCACATTGGTATGAGCAAGGAGACCGAGGTGGAGTTTGACACTTCTATTCATCGAGCAAAGGGTCTTCTAGGTGGTGTTTATTCAAGCATTTGTGGGCCTTCCAATGAGGTATTATTAGGAGGTAATCACTATTTGGTTTCCTATGTTGGGGACTGTTCTAGGCATTTGTGGGTTGCAACCAAGTCTCATTGGTATAAAGTCCTAGTAGTCAATAACATATGGAGAAAGTGTATTGGCAGAAATGTAACATGTTGTTCTGTTTTTGGTAGAGGTTCTTTTCTGTGTTTATGTTGAGCTTATGACAGTTTGAGACACTTCATTGGAGAGGAAACATTAGGGCAACAAGATGAGATGATAGTTTTGATGGGTCGTTCCTTATTGGAGGAGGGTCGATGTTTGATGTCGAGCATTGGTTTTAGTATTCGGGCTTCGACATATTTGGGTCATCTTAGTCATAGGTTGCCGACTGCTACGTTTAGAGATTTTCGATCTGGTGGAGCTGCTTCATATATTGGGTTGCTTCGGATGTTTGGTCGCCTAACATATGGTCACATCGAGGATGTGAGATTTGATCCGATTACACATTTGGAATTCAGAGGCGTGTTTGCTTATCAGGTATTGGCTTCTGATTTTATTCTGAGCAGGTATGTCATATTTAACTCTCGGCATGTGGAGAGTGTTGATCAGATCATTGGGATATCGTAGCGGGTGGAGGGTGATGCTACTCCATGTTTGGTGGAGATTATTCCACATACTCCGGATCATACTGCATCGTTTGGGATTTCAGTTGAGGTGACACTGTTTGGGGATCATGTTGATTTGGATACAGATGATGAGTTGGTTGATTCGAGTGCAGCTGGTGGACAAAGTTTGGATTTGGTTATGGCCGTTGGTTCACCTCAGATGGATGTGTTTGAATCGTTTCACTTTGGGGCCATTTGGAGAGCTATTAGTTGTAGATTTGTTGGTGATGTTGGAGAAGGGTTGAGAACTCTTCTAGTTGATTGAGGGCCTTTGGAGGCCATTAGAGGAACTACGTGAATGCTTGATTCCTTGGACAAGAGGATACGTAGACAGTCATTTTATGATGCAACCGATTTGGTGAGTTGATACCGACTTTTGGAGAATAACCACATTCTCATTTGGGTCTCGACTTGTTGTGGATTGAGTCCGTTGTCGTGAATTTGGTTAACTTCATACTGGACACAACAAGTGGGACATTTGGTTTGATCGGTGTCGACTCAGTTTTGGGAAAACTTCGCCGAGGTGGAGAATTGTAGAATCGGCGAAATATTTGGTGAAGAACAGGTTTTGGACACAGAGGAAACAATTTTGGTGTCGTTCGGTCGACCGCGGTGCAAGGCCGGTCGACCGAATTCGTGCACAGACCCTAGAACCGAGTCTGGACTTGGTGCGGTCAGCCACCGCGGTCGACCGCCATACTTTGTAGGATTTTTCTGGTTCTCTCGTTT